GCGGATCAGGCCCTGGAGGGGATCAGACTCAGGTTCAGGGGTCGAGCAGCTCCAGGAGTGGATGAGGAAGTTTGTATCAGCTGAGATTATGCATAATATTCTAGACCAGACTCTGGTGATCTTTGGTACAGTCTAGGAGGGCATACTGGAGATTTTGGATGAGAGGCTGGGACCCTTCCGCACTGAGATAATGACCATGATGGGATCGTGAACATTGACATTTCGAGAGCTCAAAGCTTGTGGAGCTCCAGATTTTCATGGGGCAAGGGACCCCATTGCTAGCAGCAGATAATTGGCTGATATCGCCAATGCCTTTCGTTCTAGCCGGTGTTTCGAGGGGGACAATGTCAGACTAGCCTCCTGTCTTTTGAAGGACAAAGCACGTGATTGGTGGGAGGAGGTTGGGCATGCTATGAGGGATGATGTCGCATTAGATGCAATGACATGAAGTAATTTCTCGGGCAGGTCCAAGGCCGAGTTTGCACCAGTGATTAAGCTGCAGTAGTTAGCATGGGAGATCCAGGACATGCGGCAGGCCACAGAGATAGTGGCGGAGATCACCACTAAGTTTAGGGAAAGAGCCCTTCTAGTTCCGCAGTATGTGGCGTACGAGGAGATGAAGAAGGCTCGGTACCACGAGATGTTGAGCAGTGATATCAGTAAGTTTTTGAGTCGGTCTAGCTGCAAGTTTTTGAGTCGGTCTAGAGACAAAAAAAGAAGAGGAAAATGGCAGAGGTTTGGGTATCTATGGGTCCAGGAAAGAGGCCCAACACATCGGATTCTAGGTCGAGAGGTCATTAGGATCGGGGCCGCTATGGAAAGTGTGGCAGGAAACATGAGGGTGCGTGTAGGAGCGGCAATGGTGGTGATTCAGGCTGCTTCAAGTGCGGCCGGATCGGTCATTTTAGAAGAGATTGTATTGCTACCACCACCCGGGGATCAGACCTGATATGTTTCCATTGCATTCAGAGGGGCCACTAAAGGCCTAATGTTCGAGTTTGCTTTCAGCAGGATAGGTGATAACACCTACCCCTGCATACTTAAGGATCACCGACGGTCGTCAGGATTGGGTAGATGCGCTAGCAGCGAGGATTAAGGGGTATCAGTTAGTTTAATAGGAGGCGTGAGCAGTTTGATGTGTCAGGTGCGTACCTTTAATTTCTTTGTCAGCTTATGTTATGATTTTATTTTTATGGTTCTGCATCATTATTGGTAAAGGTATTTTTGTATTTAGTGGCCTGCTTGTGATAGAGTTATATGCCATCTGCATACCCGAGATTTTAGAATGATAATTAGAAATCGTTCCCTTTTAGAGCAGGTTACTTAGGATGCAGTAACTGTAGCATGCATGTGCGAGACTCGGGTGTGTCTCACTAGTTTTCAAGGGAGGTATCATTTGGGAATAGAACGGTAAGATCACCAGCAGTGGTAGCGTGGATTTTCAACAAAGTTGCCAGAGGATGATGGGAAGAATTGGGAAATTCTTCCAAGCTATGAACTGTGAGAAACTAGTTGAATCAAAGTGGGAGAGGGCCACCCGAGTGGCCAAGGGTAGAAGTAAGTGTGAGAGTGGGATAAGCTCGCATTCTTGGTAAGGATGAAGCAGTTCACATGGATGTTTGGATTGAGGGGCATGTGAGTTGGGAGTTTGGGAAACTTCCCAACATTGAGTTTGTGTCCTCATGATTAGTTGATGATTGGGTTGGGAACCATGTTGGAGTATTCCGGAAAGGTGTGGGTTTAGGACAGTTACAGTAGAGTCCCTACTATTGAAGAGTTCTAATTTCTGCGAGACCGTTTCGGTTTCATACCGGAGCATGTTGTAATGATTCCGGCAAAGGGGGCATCGATTTACAACTATCAGCAAGGGAAATTGGGGGTTCTGATCCCTCTGTTCGAAGCAGGATTGTGCCTGCTGATGTCAGATTTCTTTGACATGATTGTGCATCACTATGGCTTCTCCGTTGACGAGTTAACCCCCGAAACTGTCAATAAGATCATAGGTTTTGAACTGATTTGTCAAAATCTAGGTTATGCACCAACCTTCTACGTTTTCACTTACTTTTTCTATTCTACTACGAATTCCATAGTCGGCACTTTAGCAAAGAGAAGGGGCATTCTTCAGTTGATTCCTGAACAAGATGCTCCAAAGAAAAATTAGCAACGATAATGGATTTAGGTTAACCAAAACCTTGTGGGCGCGGGTTTCGTAGAACCCGAGACTTTTCTGACTGTGTTCCCAAGTTGTATGGGAGTAATCTGACTCTTGTCAAGCGTCTGGGAAAAATCACTATCATTGGGAAGAACTGGGAAGATTTCATTCTTGCAGCGGCCGGTGTGAGTGCTTCGTGGAGGGCTCGCGGGAAGATGACGCAAATGTTCGACATGAGATGTTATATTAACTCATCTCCTTCTCCCTGGGGTTTTTTTTTTTGAAAAAAGAATGCGAATAGGGCATCTTGTTGGTTTGTGAGATCTTATTTTTGGCGTTTGTTTTCACAGGTGCTGAAGGTGAGATTTTTTTGGAGATGGTATGTGTGGTCACTATCAGTGTAAGCTTTGCCACCAGGAGATCGATCTTGTAGAGGCTCTTCCTCATCCTATGTCTGAAAGGCGCATGTGAGAGCTTGCTAGATTGCACTGGATGGGATGGAGAAATGTTGGTTCTAGTGGACCTGCTTCACCTTCCCAGCCGGCCGTTGGGGTCGTTTCCCGGTTTCGTTCACCAGTTCCATCTTCTTTTGGTTTGCCTGCAGGAGTACAGGTGGAAAGAGGTAATGCTCCTATTCGGAAAAGGAAAATTTTGCACGTGGTGCCGTCTTCAAACGAGGAGACGGAATCCGATGATGGAGGTCTTCGTCCTTGTAGGGTGCATAGGACTGTGTCTTTGGCCAGGCTTCTTAGCACTATCGGGGGTGTTCTCGGTGATCGGTTTTCTGTGCCTAAGAAAAAATAGATAGTGGGGGTACCTCGTTCTCCGGAGGTGTCACCCTCACCATTTGTTGGTTCACCCTTAGTTAATCTTAATTCTTGCTCTATGTCTGGGAGTGTGTCGAGTTCGCCTGAAGGTTCTTTCCAGCATGAGAAGCCTTCCCTTGTTGATGAATTAGGAACTTGGTTTCACTCATTGTCTTTCGGGGCCTATGCTCCGGGTTGGGAGATTATTATAGATTCCTTACTTTAAGAAGACACCACCGCCCAGGAGTGAAGTAGATGTAGTTATCCCCCAGCTAAAATCAGTTCGCTTAACGATCAATCAAGCGCTCGTATGGTTGATTTGTTATGCTGCAGCTCAGACTTCTACCCTTATGGCTGTTGCCGCCGACCGGGTTTTCCATGCCAGTGTAAATGATCGGCACTTGAAAGTATTGCAAGGTGTCGTGGCAAGCATGAGGGAGGAAGTCCGTGATTCAGAGGCTGTGCGCCAAGTTCTTTCTGAGCAGGATTGTATTGTCGCCTGCCAGAAGGTTGCTTTAGAGGATCATGTGGCCACTCTGGAAGACCATTCAAAGTGAATCGTAAGCCAAGTGAGTTCTCTTATTCAGGAGAAGGGTGTATTAGTGAGTAAGTTGGCCAGGTGCCAAAATCAACCGGCCCTTGCTCGTGTTGATGGTGTTGTCACTCGAGGTGGTTTGTAATGGATGTTAGAGAAGGGGTAGTTCTTCTAAATTATAAAGTTATCGAGAGCCTGGAATTTTCCAGTGGGATCCAGGGTGTTCGTGATGCATGTGAGTCCCTTGGATTTGAAAAGGGGAAGCAACTAAGTGGTTATTCCACAAGTTCCGGAGAACCTGAAGTCCCATATCTTGGCCATGTTGCGAGAAGGGATGAAGAGGTGGATGTCGCTCTATCATCCCTTTCTTAGACGGATTTCGCAAGCCTCTGTCACTTGGGGAAGCTGGATTATGATAGCTTCCGCCAGTTTTGTCACACACCAAATCTGAGAGGTTCTTCCTTAGACTGTGAGCCCTGATTTGTGTTTTTCCCTTTTGTTCGTTGTGTAATGTAGTTTCCTTTCTATATACTATGTGTATAGTAAAAAATGTTGGTTGTTAATAACCATAAACTGTGCATTTTTTTGTATATAACATGGAAGTCTTCTCTTCCATTTTTTTGTATGTATACACATATTTCGAATTATCATGTGGTATCTTGAAGGACAGACTATTCTACTGCAATTTTTTTCTACATACTCCCTTGTTCTAGGGTTTGCATTAATCGGCTATTGTGTGCTTTAGATGTAACATAGCTGTTACCATTGAGTTATGCTCCGTTGACTTGTATGTTTAGTTAGGCATATTGTGTTAAGCCGTCAAATGTTAGTCACTGCTGTGGACTGAACTGTATGGTCTAGCTACCAATACAGAGGCCGAGATCGTCACCTCAAGAACTTTTACTGTTGTATTATCAGGGAAAAGGTTATGAATCTTTTAGAACCACTTGTTCTATGCCATTAATTGGGATTTATACATTTTTAGCTCTGAGATGTTGTTGCACATTGTAGGTAAATATTATGACTCTTTTAAGACCTACGGTTGCATCCTTGCATAGAATTTACTCAAGTAGCGTAGGTGATTAGCCGTTGTTGCTACTTGGAAAATATGCACAACCTCTATACTTTGTGTTTTTGCAATACAAAATTCTGGAAGGCTCTTTCAAAATGCAAATTATATTATTTATAGAAATAAAAAGAAAGAAATGAGAATATAGACCCTAAATGTCTAAGTGTCAGGGCGTATGACCAGTCTTCGCTTCGACACCTAGAGTATGGATATCTTGTGCGGAGTTCGACCATAATCCTTTTTCTAGGTGTCCACTTTAGTTCCGATTGAGTGCTCTACTATGGCTACCTTATTGTGATTGTGTCTCTCTGCCTCATTTGTTGCAAGTGCTTCTTGATAGGTTGGGGTTTCCTCTTGTTTCTTCCTACAGTGCCCATCATGAGAGAGATGAGCTTTGTTGTTCATGCTCTGGAGGTACTTGAACTTTCCTTTCTTCTCGACATAGTGTGAGATGTAACTGTGGGAAGTGCCTCCTCGTGGCCTGGTGAGAGTGCCACCCGCGCTTTATGGCATGCCTATCACCCTTCCGTCTCACGCCATTGCTTGGGATGTCATTTAGTGCATCAGGGCACTTATTAGTTTTCTCCCATAGGAAAGCTTGTGTGGTGGGAGGATTGGCACTCTGCCTCTAGCTTCGATGCTTCTGGTGTGTATTTCCTTTATTCCATGAGGTTTTGGTTCATATTTTCCATTGGCCAAAATGTACTTTGAATTTCGAATTGCTCTCTGGCTGGGCACGGCTTTGCCATCAGTTGTGGGCCTAACTGGTGCCCTTTCTTGTGAGTAGGCGCTTCTTTGCTTTGCGATTTTTTCTTCGTACTTTGGTTGATTCATCTTTAGGTCAGCACGTTCTTCCTTCAATGGGAGAGATGTTGTGAGCCGATTGAATACATCTCTTTGTCTTTTCCTGGACTCGTGGGTCAGCGCTTATGTTGTTGTCGTTCTCCTTTGTGGATCTTCCACCTTCTAGCAACATTTTCTCCGAGACAATTACGTTTCTCATTTCCTTTCTCGTTGGGTGTCACATTCATTACCCCACTTGGTTGCCACTACTTTTCTCCGAGACAATTGGGTGTCACATCCTTTCTCCTCTGTGGATCATTACCCCACTTGGGTGTCACATCCTTTCTCCTCTGTGGATCTCCTCTATGGATCTTCCACCTTCTAGCAACCTTTACTCCGAGACAATTGGGTTTCTCGTTTCCTTTCTCGTTGGGTGTCACATCCATTACCCCACTTGGTTGCCGATCCATCACCCATGCTGAATTTGAGAACACCGTGAAGAGTAGACGGAATCACATGCAGCTGGAACAATACTGGCCGACGTACTTGAATATTGTGATCGGTCGAGCGATCAACAACCGACAATTTACCCTTGTTATCTATTTGGTTCCATCATGACTGAGCAATGTAAATGAGAGCGTGACTGTTCTTGTTAGCCATATGCCATGACCGGTGAACCCAACTAGCAGTCCCTGGCGTGGTAGTTGGATGTGCTTTATGCATTCAATTGGTAATTGCCGAAGGCAGTGTTCATAAATCACATTGACCCTGCTTGCAGTATCGATGTACACTTGTTCAAAACGGTTTTGGCTAATGAAACTGGTTATGTGCAAAGGGTCATTCAGATCCCAATGCTCTGGCCAGGGATCGTGCGTTGAGAATGTTATATTGAGAATGTTATGATGGTATACATGTGCGCGCATGCACTGGCTCTGGTGATTGCTACATGGGTGGGGCCATGTGATGGTAAGTATCTCAGACCTTCTTTCGCTATCCTCATCCCCATCCTTTTGATTTTTCGGTTGGTGCTTATCCACATCGAATTTCTCCCTGAGGTCTTTTTCTATGTCGACTATATTTCCCACTAGTTGTTTCTCATCAATCTCCCGCTTCAATACTATGCACTCGTTGGTGTCATGCATTTTCCTTCGATTATATTCACATAACTTGGTCTTGTCTTTGTTCTTCTTGGCTAGAGTCTTATTGATTGCGTGGACATCGTTGTGTCTACTCACGCTATCATCCTTATTGAATGTTCTATACTGCCGTGACATCTGCCTGGAATGGCTGTTATGTCTCTGTTGGTTGCCATCTTGCCTCTTTTGCTGAACTGGGCTTGGTCAGGACACCGTTTCATCCAGTTTGAGATTGGTATTAGCTAAGGCTTTGAGATTGGCCACTTTTCGTTCTTCCCCCTCGATTTTACACAAGTATTTTTCTGCATCGAACTTGACTTCGTCCATGGATCTAGGAACTATTCTGTGCATCTTCCTTGATAAGGGTCCAGGAAGCAGACCTTGTGTGAAGGTGCCTGTCACTAGGAATTCTTCATGTCCTGGGATGTTCAAGGTAACTAGTCTGAATCGTTCGTAAGAGTCACACATCGATTCTCCTTCTTTTTGTTTGCAAGCCATCACAGAGTTGGCGTCCCTTTTCCTTTTCTCAATTTCATGAAGTTTTTGAGGAAAAGGTATTTCAGTTGCTCAAAGCTTGAGATACTACCTAGCCTTAGAGATTTGAACCACTTTCCTGCATTTCCTGTTAAGGTGCAGGGGAAATACGTGTAGGTGAAGCGGTGATGCATCATAAGAGATGCCATCGTCCATTTGTAGTTATCGATGTGGTCATCTGGGTATGTAGTACCGTCATACTCTAGCGTGTTTGGTATCATTGTAGTGTGTAGGATCTCGTACTACAGGAGTTCATGACTGAGGTTAGAGCTTGCGCTTCACATGGGGTTATCCATGTATGATTACGACATCCCACCATACGCCATGTATTGCTGCATCTGATAGTTGGGGTCCCACGGATGGCGCCAAATGTTGTGATATAATGGAGATGGTTGAGTCGGGATAGTAGGCGAGCTTCATGACGATATCTTCTCTTGATATCACAGTACAAAAGAGAAAGATGATCGTTACTCGACGTACGGGAGGAGATCCCGGGATGAAGCTCCAACGATCAAGTTACTAGGAGATTGGAGAGATTATAGTATAGGAAAAGGTGAATTCAATCCACTTCTTCGTGAGGAAGAAGGATCCTTTTATAGCTGTTCGAGAAGACCGTCCGTCAACTAATTATGTCGATGCCTCCTTCATCAGGTGCGATGTAACGAACCCATATTAGAGGGTCCTCCATCATGTGTTTTTCCTCACTCCCTCATTGGCTAGATGCGGATCTTTTAATTGTTATGAAGATCGTGGCTATAGTCTAATGGGCAAGCGGTATTCTCTGATTGGCACGACTCTTCTCCTTTTTTGACATTCTCCCTGAGGGATATGTTAACTATATATATATATATATATATATATATATATATATATATATATATATATATATATATATATATATATATATATATATATATGGAAATGATCAAATGAAAACAACTAAAAGGTTGACAACGCGAGAACAGTTTTGGACTAATCAATATATAAGGGCATATAAGTAATTGCATATTTTAATTAAATTAAAATAAACGAAAATCTATCAAATTCCCTTAAATTTAGGATCAGTTACCAAAAAAGAAGGAGATATTTTATTTTTTATTTTTCTTATTAATGAAATATAAAAAAACATTTTTATCAAAAAAAATTTTAAACTAAAAAAAAAAATTTTAATTTTTTTTTCTCATATTACATGTTTTTTTTCAAAACAATTCATAGAAATCCAACCCGAAATCAATACATTTATAAACATTAACGGTTTTTTTTTCAAAAATACTAATACTACTAAAATCACAAATGAATACATATCAATTTACAAGTAATCCACTTCCTTTATTTTAAACAACTGAAAATAAAAGGGGTGTAAAAATTATCATTTCTTCATAAAAGAATACCTTTAATCATAAATAAATACACTTATTTACACATGATTGCATTGGTATTTATAAGTTAATACATTGCTATTAACAAATGAATATCCTAGTATTCACAAATGAATAAAACAATACCTCTAATCATAAATAAAATACACTCATTCAATATGATTACACTATTATTTACAAATGAATACATTGTTATTACAAATGAATACCTTTCTATTCATAAATGAATACCCCTCTCACGCATATCATCAAACAGCTTATGTGCACAGCCTTTTACCTTGAATCTGATTACAGCTTTGTGTGGCTATATCTTCCATCAATTGTAAGGGTTACCACTTGAGCCTTTAAATACCCACTTGAGCCTATCGAGTTCTGCCAAATATAACAAGAACAAAAAAATAGCCTATCGAGTTCTGCCAAATCAAACAATAACAAAAAAAGGAACCCTTACCTATTTTTGAATCGTCGCTGGCCTTCTTGATAACCAAACATCCCAATATTGGAGCTTTGTCACCGAAAACCAATGGCAGACCCCACATCCCGCTGCTTCCATTCTCCTTTCTTCTTTTCTTTGATCCAGCCAATCACCAAAGGTGCACCATCTTCAATCAGTCGAGACCAACAACCCACCCCTCGCTGCCTCCTCCTTTCCTCCTCTTCAGCCTCGTCAACCACAGAGATGCTCCCCTCGCCATCATGACGGCCGACCACAGACGTCACCGATTGCCTTCACTTCCTTCCCATGTCTTTTGTCGACCTGTGATGTAGGTTGCGTAGATGGATAGTGATGGTGCAGTTGAGGAAAGATTAAACCAAAAACACTTCAAGGTTGACACTTGCGATGCTCCGATTAGGATTGATTCAAACGATGTGCCTTGGAGGGAGGCTGAGGGAGGAATCGATTAAAACCTAGGTATAGAAAGAGAGAAAGAAGTGATGTGGGGGACAAATAATTTAAACGACAGTATGATATGTGATTGAGAAATCATAGGAACAAGTTAAAATTACAATTACCATTATAGCCTTGTGACTTTTACAAGTTACACTTTAATGCCTATGGTTTTAGAATTTACGTAAATGACCCGTTTGATAATAGCCTCAGATCTGAATATTTTGATGGTCCAGATCCGTTCTCACGCTCTCAAACTTTTAGGAGTTTTCATTTGATCCTACTCATATATATATATATATATATATATATATATATATATATATATATATATATATATATATATATATATATATATATATATATATATATATATATATATATATATATAGGCTTAGGGAATATGTGGCTGTTATGTACCAAAACTTATATATAGAACCCTCCAAACTATATAGTCGTGATCCATATATATCAAAACTAATCATGATATATTGTTTTCTATTCTTCCATAGTCACGTGACTTACTAAATTTTTTGAAATTATATTCTTTTTCTTCATTGTGTCTAAAAATTTAAAGCATTAAAACTAATGACCATTTAATCAACCCTACTAAATTTTAAATTAAAACTAATAGAATAAAAGATAAAAAATGACATGCAATAATTCAATCAAGGTTTTCAAAAGTCGTTGGAAATAGTTTTTCAACTGAAGGACAAAACGTTTGACTTATATTTGATAAAAATATATTTGTTTTTTACTTTCCCTTTTTCCTATAAACTTCAATGAGTTTTTTGCAATAAAAAGATATATAATTGATCTTTTTAATTTCATGATCTAACAAAATTCAATAGTATACTATTAAATCAAAATTAAGAGAAAAGTAAAAATTGAATTTGTTTTGTTTTAACTACGTCATCTAAAAGGTTCTATACCTATCACTTATATATATATATATATATATATATATATATATATATATATATATATATATATATATACACACACACACACACACATACATACCACGCATATCCCTCTCCCACTCTATCAAATCGGTTGTTTTTTTAAGTCGGAGAGAAATGGAGCTCCGCCACCTACATCCATCGAAATCACTGGAACACCGAACAACCGTCGAAATATCATAACCACCAGATAGCCTACACTTGTTCCCATGCCGGAAACCACCTCTCTCTATCTATGTCTTTCTCTTATTGCTTCTCCGATTTACTTGTCGATATCTCTCGTTTCAATGACTACCATATCTGGATTCACCAGATCTTCAATAGAAGGCCACTAGCTCTGGTTTCCAGATATGGTTTCACCAGCAACCGCCGCTGCCTTTGAGTCACCATCTCTGAGTTTGGATCAGGTTTTAATATATTTCTCTTATGCGATTAAAGGAATTCACTCCAAGGTTGCAAACAAGTTATTATTACAAGTATTAGACCACCGATTTATTAAATGAAAAACAACGTAGTCAATCTATGTCACTATACCTGTCGTCAAAGTGATAGACTGACATAGTGAAGGTG